TGAGTGAGAGCGAGTGAGTGTGTGTGTGAGTGAGTATGTGAGTGAGAGTGAGTGAGAGTGAGTGAGTGAGTGAGAGCGAGTGAGTGTGTGTGTGAGTGAGTATGTGAGTGAGAGTGAGTGAGAGTGAGTGAGTGAGTGAGAGCGAGTGAGTGTGTGTGTGAGTGAGTATGTGAGTGAGAGTGAGTGAGAGTGAGTGAGTGAGTGAGAGCGAGTGAGTGTGTGTGTGAGTGAGTATGTGAGTGAGAGTGAGTGAGAGTGAGTGAGTGAGTGAGAGCGAGTGAGTGTGTGTGTGAGTGAGTATGTGAGTGAGAGTGAGTGAGAGTGAGTGAGTGAGTGAGAGCGAGTGAGTGTGTGTGTGAGTGAGTATGTGAGTGAGAGTGAGTGAGAGTGAGTGAGTGAGTGAGAGCGAGTGAGTGTGTGTGTGAGTGAGTATGTGAGTGAGAGTGAGTGAGAGTGAGTGAGTGAGTGAGAGCGAGTGAGTGTGTGTGTGAGTGAGTATGTGAGTGAGAGTGAGTGAGAGTGAGTGAGTGAGTGAGAGCGAGTGAGTGTGTGTGTGAGTGAGTATGTGAGTGAGAGTGAGTGAGAGTGAGTGAGTGAGTGAGAGCGAGTGAGTGTGTGTGTGAGTGAGTATGTGAGTGAGAGTGAGTGAGAGTGAGTGAGTGAGTGAGAGCGAGTGAGTGTGTGTGTGAGTGAGTATGTGAGTGAGAGTGAGTGAGAGTGAGTGAGTGAGTGAGAGCGAGTGAGTGTGTGTGTGAGTGAGTATGTGAGTGAGAGTGAGTGAGAGTGAGTGAGTGAGTGAGAGCGAGTGAGTGTGTGTGTGAGTGAGTATGTGAGTGAGAGTGAGTGAGAGTGAGTGAGTGAGTGAGAGCGAGTGAGTGTGTGTGTGAGTGAGTATGTGAGTGAGAGTGAGTGAGAGTGAGTGAGTGAGTGAGAGCGAGTGAGTGTGTGTGTGAGTGAGTATGTGAGTGAGAGTGAGTGAGAGTGAGTGAGTGAGTGAGAGCGAGTGAGTGTGTGTGTGAGTGAGTATGTGAGTGAGAGTGAGTGAGAGTGAGTGAGTGAGTGAGAGCGAGTGAGTGTGTGTGTGAGTGAGTATGTGAGTGAGAGTGAGTGAGAGTGAGTGAGTGAGTGAGAGCGAGTGAGTGTGTGTGTGAGTGAGTATGTGAGTGAGAGTGAGTGAGAGTGAGTGAGTGAGTGAGAGCGAGTGAGTGTGTGTGTGAGTGAGTATGTGAGTGAGAGTGAGTGAGAGTGAGTGAGTGAGTGAGAGCGAGTGAGTGTGTGTGTGAGTGAGTATGTGAGTGAGAGTGAGTGAGAGTGAGTGAGTGAGTGAGAGCGAGTGAGTGTGTGTGTGAGTGAGTATGTGAGTGAGAGTGAGTGAGAGTGAGTGAGTGAGTGAGAGCGAGTGAGTGTGTGTGTGAGTGAGTATGTGAGTGAGAGTGAGTGAGAGTGAGTGAGTGAGTGAGAGCGAGTGAGTGTGTGTGTGAGTGAGTATGTGAGTGAGAGTGAGTGAGAGTGAGTGAGTGAGTGAGAGCGAGTGAGTGTGTGTGTGAGTGAGTATGTGAGTGAGAGTGAGTGAGAGTGAGTGAGTGAGTGAGAGCGAGTGAGTGTGTGTGTGAGTGAGTATGTGAGTGAGAGTGAGTGAGAGTGAGTGAGTGAGTGAGAGCGAGTGAGTGTGTGTGTGAGTGAGTATGTGAGTGAGAGTGAGTGAGAGTGAGTGAGTGAGTGAGAGCGAGTGAGTGTGTGTGTGAGTGAGTATGTGAGTGAGAGTGAGTGAGAGTGAGTGAGTGAGTGAGAGCGAGTGAGTGTGTGTGTGAGTGAGTATGTGAGTGAGAGTGAGTGAGAGTGAGTGAGTGAGTGAGAGCGAGTGAGTGTGTGTGTGAGTGAGTATGTGAGTGAGAGTGAGTGAGAGTGAGTGAGTGAGTGAGAGCGAGTGAGTGTGTGTGTGAGTGAGTATGTGAGTGAGAGTGAGTGAGAGTGAGTGAGTGAGTGAGAGCGAGTGAGTGTGTGTGTGAGTGAGTATGTGAGTGAGAGTGAGTGAGAGTGAGTGAGTGAGTGAGAGCGAGTGAGTGTGTGTGTGAGTGAGTATGTGAGTGAGAGTGAGTGAGAGTGAGTGAGTGAGTGAGAGCGAGTGAGTGTGTGTGTGAGTGAGTATGTGAGTGAGAGTGAGTGAGAGTGAGTGAGTGAGTGAGAGCGAGTGAGTGTGTGTGTGAGTGAGTATGTGAGTGAGAGTGAGTGAGAGTGAGTGAGTGAGTGAGAGCGAGTGAGTGTGTGTGTGAGTGAGTATGTGAGTGAGAGTGAGTGAGAGTGAGTGAGTGAGTGAGTGTGTGTGAGTGTGTGTGAGTGTGTGTGAGTGTGTGTGTGTGTGTGTTAGTCTGACCGTACGGTCCACAGGGAACAGGTTGTGCTCGGAGCAGGGTAGTTTCACGTGTGTGTCGTCCCAGCGGTCCTGCAGCTGATCTGGAGACGGATACGGCTCTGGAACTTCACCAGGCTGCAACAAATCAGTCTGTGAAACAAATACAGACCTTCAGATGTCTCCCGATTCAGCCTTAACTTCTACTTCTACAATAACATTTGTATATAATAATGAATTGTGTAGCTAATATCACAATAACTGTGCCTTTGTGTTTGTCCCTTTCATCAGAGGTGTTTCACTCATTCATTAGTGCTATTTCTGTTAAGCTTTGATTTACAAATATTTGCCATTTCGGAGGCTCAAAGCGAAGCGCCGTAGCATTCACACTCACTGGAGCGCTGAGGTGTGCGAATGCTGCGCTGAAACCCTTGATGTTCGGGTCTTAAACTCACCCTGATCAGGACCGTGTGGCTGTCGGTGGGCTTCAGGGCGGGTAACGGGCCGCTGCACCCCGGCGCTCTCCTCAGGTCACTGACAGGAACACCCAGCCCGGTGACGTCACCGCTGAACGCCTTCCCATCAGCCCCTGCTGCAGCTGCTGCCCTGTAATGAGTTCATCAGGGATGAGGAGGACATCCAATCACATCCTCAGAGAGACTGGAAAGGCACTGTAAGCATTGCAGATGATTTAATAAATAATGTCCGTCAGCCTGTTTTCAGTTTGTGTGTGTGGTATTTATGCTGGTTTGACCGTGGATCTCCTATCAGCAAAACACACCAGAATAAACAGACTTAGACCAGCTAACCACGTTAGACTGGACTAAAAAGGCCACGCCTCAAAATGACTGACACACAGAGAGTGTTTCTGATTGGCTGAGGCTCCTCAGGTGTGCTTTCTCAGTCACACCTGGCAGGTATATTGCCTGACATTAGCAATGGCCTACAGCAGCTTTAACTCACGCTGAAGATCTGCGAAAGCCTCTGAGAACTGAGCAGTTCCTCTGACTGAACTTGATCCTCCACGCGGACAGACGCATCTTCATCATCCCACAGAACTGAGTCATGTTCTGCAACAACATCAGCACAGTCATCCTGACCAGATCTTACACTAAAGCTGAATCTGAAAGGGCTATAGAGACTAAATATGTGCATTATATTATACTGCTCTGGCATCTGTAGACTGTATAATAGATACGCACCGCAGCGGCTCTCAGGAGCGCGAGCGGACAGAAGAAGGCGAACAGCGCGAGCGACAGGTGAAGCAGGGCCGGACACTGATCCACATCCATTCACTCGAACCTCTCCGAACACAACACAGTCCGCTCCGTAACGAACCAAACTTTCAGAGTGTCAGAAATCACTTTCGTTTTCCTCACTTCCACTTTCCGCATCAGAGCAGATCTCAGATCAGTCACGTTCTGCCCATATTAGCGCTGAACAGCAGGTGACTACATTTCCAGGACGTTTACAAGTTTAGAGGACACTTTTGTATCAAAGTCTGAATCTTTTAATAGTTGCCACGGTCCACGGATACAGAAATAGCAAAGATTAAAAACTACATTTTCCACAAACCACAGTCACTCTAGCATTGTTATCATAAAAGTATAATTATTAGGCCTAAAACTATATATACACGCAAATGTGGCTTTTTAGCGGCTCGGGGCGGTGCCAGACTCGTCATGGCTCATGAATATTAATTACGTAACGTGCCTGTGGCCACACCCGATTCGCGTTAAGCGCATGCGCATTCACCGTCACAGCAGCTGGACGCACGCATCTGTTTTCTAATAAAAATATTTTGCGTTGCTCACCTTCTGCACGCGACTTTCCCTGGAGCTTCAGTGAAGACGTTTGTGGATTTGCGCGTCCCAGTGTTCGCGGCAGCATCTGAGACCGGAGCAGAACCGGTTCGTCTGGGTTTCTCCGAGGTTACCGGGCTTTCCTCTCCGAACGGATCCGTGCTCTCCGGACACTCCTGCTTCCGTGAATTCTGCTCGGACCCCGCAGGTTCGGGATGATGCTGATGAGAGCTTCTCTGGGTCACCACGGGCTTCAGCAGCCAGTCATCCAGAGTCCGGCTGCATCTGGAGTCTCTCATCGGTCGCTTCGCGCGCTTCCCGAGCGGCTCACAGTCCGACATCACGCTCTCCACTCAATCTCAGTTATGAAGATCGCGTTTATGAACGTACAACAGATAATAACACTGTAAAACGACGATCACGTGTTCACGTTACTATTTTACTGCAGCCTCCGCGTTACTGGATCAAACTCCCAGTTAAAGCGCTTCACACTTCCTGTTTTCATGACGTAAAACTCCAGTAGCCAATGAGCGGCCGGTATTCGGCGAGTGGGTGGGGTCAGCGGGTTCATCAGAAGCGCGTGACGTCGGATTTTTGCTATGCCAATAGTAGATTTTCTAATACAAATGAAAATTAAGAATGAGAAAGAGACCCCTAAGAACATTATTGCACAGAAGTGTTTAGATCAGACTTATCCATCGTGGTTACATATATATACTGATGGTTCTAAAGACCCTATCTCTGGCAGAACAGCTGCTGCAGTGTTTATACCAAAGTTTCAAACTAGAATTAAGAAAATAATATCTGATCATACAGCAGAATTAATCGCCTTGGTGGTAGCACTCCAGTGGGTAGAGGAAGCAAAACCAAGTTTAGGTAATGTGTTCTGACTCTCATGCAGCAATATTGAGCCTCGCACGTGGAGTAAAATCATCAAGACATTATATACGAGATTCTTGCAAGTTAGTTAAGGATAAGTAATGTAAGCTTAATAACATGTTTGTGTGTTCCCGCTCATGTGGGAGTGGAGGCTAATGAAGTGGCTGATAAGCAAGCTCTTAAACACAGAAATAGATATTCAAGTGACTCTTAGCAAAAATGAAGTTAAAGGGAAAATTAAAGAATTCATTAAAAAAAATTGGCAAGAAGTATGGGACTGTGATAGCAAGAGCAGACGTGTGTATAATATTCAGCAGCAAGTATGAAATAGAAGAAGTGCTTTGAGGAATAGGAAAGAAGATAGTTATTTCTGGCATCTGAATAGAGCATACTAGATTAAATCTCTCGGTTTAATACAGGACAGCATGAAACAGGTCAATGTATTCTTTGTAATCAGGCAGAAACAGCATCTTTTAATAAAATGTAAAAAAATATGAAAAAAAGGTTAAAACTCATTAAGGAAGTAAGAAACGTGGGTGTTGAATCATTTAATTTGTCAAGGCTTTTGAAAGAGCATGCAGAACAAGGTAAAATATATGGTGCTATTATAAAATACTTTAAAGAAATAGGGTTAATCAGGAGAATTTTTTTTATGTATGTATATGTGTGTGTGTGTGTATATTTTTATATATATATATAATGTTGCCTACAGAGCAAACAGGTCTGTGGACGATGCAGTTAACATGGCAGGCCATCACAGGCACAGTTTCTTCCCTCAGGCCTCTCATGAACACTTGACAATAACTGTGGAACACACACTATTTATTCACTCATACACTTATTTATCTAACACACATACTCAGTCTACATTTCAATTTGCACATAATATACCTGTACATACAACTGTCTATTGTTCTATACCTGGACATACAATTGTCGATTGTCGATTTGTATATTTTTTATTCCTTATTTTACTCGTTCTATTTTTTATTATCTGTGTGTTTTTTGTTCTGTCACTGTCATTCTGTTACACTGTGGAAGCTTCTGTCACGAAAACAAATTCCTCGTATGTGTAAACATACCTGGCAATAAAGCTCATTCTGATTCTGATTATTGGTGCTTCACACTCCAGTCCAGTTGGTGGCGGTAAAAGAAGTTGGTTTGCCATCCGCCATAAAACATTAGAAGAAGAAGAAGTTCGTGACGTCACTGAGACAGTCAAACTTATTTTATTAGATTGTAAAATGTATGAAGAAGAAAGAAGGGAGTTAGAAACACAAAATGGAAAACAAAACATGACAGTGGGAAATCTGCTAGGAAAAACAATGTCTAGGGAAATACATAGTCTCCTAATGAATTATTTGAAAAATACTGGGATAAGTGAAAGAATTTAATAGATATATATAGGGGGGAAAAATATTTATATATATGTAAAAAAAAAAAAATTCTCTCTCTCCTTGTCCTTTCTTTCAAAGTACTGCCCACACTCCAGTCCAGTAGGTGGCGGTAAACCACCTTTAAATTAAATAAAATTAAAAGAAGAAGTGCGTGACGTCAGCTGAGCGCGGTCGGTGTCCGTATGTCTCCCGCTGCTGCGTGTCTCGGTGTTCTGTGCGGGTTACCGGCGGCCGGTAAATCCCGTCTGGCTCGGGAGCTGCGGGGTCGCACACAGACGCGCGGATGGAGGACGCTGCTCGTGACGTATGACGAACTGATACCAGCGCGCGACTGGCAGGAGGTTTGTCTTTCATCTTGTTATAAACATGTTATTGTGTCTCTATTTACAGTGTGCTGGGATGCTGGATAGCAGCCAGAGAGAGAGAGAGAGAGAGAGCGAGAGAGAGAGAGTGTGTGAGTGTGTGTGTGTGTGTGAGTGTGAGTGTGAGTGTGTGTGTGTGTGTGTGTGTGTGTGAGTGTGTACACTTATTGTAACTGAACCTGACAGCCAGTGGTCACTATGCCTGAAAAACATTCACATTTTGTTAATAAGTTGATTTCAATGGGATAAAATATCATCCCACATAATAAATACCGATTATAAAATCAGGCTTTTTGCTCCATCAGAGGCAGTGTGTTCAGCAGAATATGAATGCGAGTCATTGATTTGTTGGCTGGCAGATCTTTTGCTCTCAGCAGCGCTAAAGCACGTTCTGATACTGCTATAGGCATGAGCTGCAGTGTTTGTGAACGCTGGGATTGGTCTGTTGATCTGAGCATATCAATATTGGCAAAAAACTGGCATGAGGAGGGTTTATGACCACATGATCAGTAATAATTGTTCCTGAATCGCTCTGTTAGGGTTAGTTCACACAGATCGTGTTCTTGTGTTCAAAAACAGCTAGCAAAGGAACGAAACAGAAGTTGAACTGTTTTCATATGATATCTCTTGCAACATTTTTTAATATTGCGTCTAGATACCTGTGTTCTGTTCTGTTTGTGTGAACGGCCCCTTACACACTGCCTGCCTTTAATCTACAGCACTTGTGTGTTTTGTTGTATTGTGTGTTGTTTTTTGTTTTTCAGTCTGAATGGAAGCAGCACAGGAAGACGGTTCTGATGTGTCTGGAGAGATTCCTTCATCAGACTCTCTCCGATCAGACTCACACGCTCTCCGATCAGACTCATACGCTCTCCTATCAGACTCAGACTCATACGCTCTCCGATCAGACTCAGACTCCCACACTCTCTGATCAGACTCAGACTCCCACACTCTCTAATCAGACTCACACGCTCTCCGATCAGACTCATAAACTCTCCGATCAGACTCACACGCTCTCTGATCAGACTCAGACTCCCACACTCTCTGATCAGACTCAGACTCCCACACACTCTAATCAGACTCACACGCTCTCCGATCAGACTCAGACTCCCACACTCTCTAATCAGACTCACACGCTCTCCGATCAGACTCATAAACTCTCCGATCAGACTCAAACGCTCTCCGATCAGACTCATAAACTCTCCGATCAGACTCAAACTCCCACACTCTCTAATCAGACTCACATGCTCTCCGATCAGACTCATAAACTCTCCGATCAGACTCACACGCTCTCCGATCAGACTCAAACTCCCACACGCTCTAATCAGACTCACACGCTCTCCGATCAGACTCATACTCATTCACACACACACACACACACACTCACACACACACTCTCACACACACTCTCACGCACACACTCATTCACACACACTCACACTCTCACGCACACACACTCTCATTCACACACACACACTCTCATTCACATACACACGCACACTCTCACACACGCTGTGTGTGTTCTGAATCGATTCAGAAGAGACGTGAATTAATGCACGCGTGTCGCCTGATCCACATATGCATGGATTCCTTTTTGCATGAGCAATTTATGAAATATTAATGCAGAACAGAACGTTTTTATTCACAAACATGTCTGTATTTGTACAAATCGCTGCACAATCATTTCATCCTGAAAGGCATTTGTTTGTGGTTAGTAAGATACATGTATAAAATGTATGCAGTACATGGATAATTGTGCGTGCATCTATTAATCATTTTGAGTCTAATATCATCCCATAGGAAAGTGGGTCACGGTTATAAATACGCCATCAGGATGCTGCAGCGCAGGTGTGCTTCAGTTCATGTTTATTTCCACAGCGCTTTATAAAATACAGAAAATAACTGTTAATATTGTGAAATTCATCAATTATGTGACAAATTCTATTTCATCTGTAAAGCAGGAGACAATAGTGTCATTATTCAGATCCATTCAGTTCATGTTTTGTTCTCATCTGATACTGTCAGTGCATGTGTGTGTGTCTGTGTGTGTGTGTGAGAGAGAGAGTATGTGTGTGTGAGTGTGTGTGTGTGTGTGTGTGAGAGAGAGAGAGTGTGTGTGTGAGAGAGAGAGAGTGTGTGTGTGAGAGAGAGAGAGTGTGTGTGTGAGAGAGAGAGAGTGTGTGTGTGAGAGAGAGAGAGTGTGTGTGTGAGAGAGAGAGAGTGTGTGTGTGAGAGAGAGAGAGTGTGTGTGTGAGAGAGAGAGAGTGTGTGTGTGAGAGAGAGAGAGTGTGTGTGTGAGAGAGAGAGAGTGTGTGTGTGAGAGAGAGAGAGTGTGTGTGTGAGAGAGAGAGAGTGTGTGTGTGAGAGAGAGAGAGTGTGTGTGTGAGAGAGAGAGAGTGTGTGTGTGAGAGAGAGAGAGTGTGTGTGTGAGAGAGAGAGTATGTGTGTGTGAGTGTGTGTGTGTGTGTGTGTGAGAGCAGGGCATGCAGCAGCAGATCGCTCATGTGGCCATGCAGCTGGAACTACAATCGACTGCTGACCTGCAATGCTGCTCGTCTGAAGGAGTCCGGACGGTCCTTCATTAAAGAGGCCTGCATGGCCAAGTACTTCACCGCGGAGGTCAGTCCAGCACTCACGCCTCATCTGAAAACTGCCACGGAAAATGAATTTGGAATTTATATCTCTCAGTTCAGATTTGTACAAAAAAAGTCTGAATTGTGAGATAAAGAGTCACAAAGTCACCTTTTTTAATTTGTATTATTCTGTGGCAGAAACGAGCTGCGATGCTGTTCTGAGATCAGTGTGTTGCATCGAGTGGATGGGCGGCGTGGGCTTCACCAGACTATCCCATCGAGAAGTACTACAGAGACTGTAAGATCGGTGAGTGAAGCACAGGCGTGTGTCATGAAGAAACGCTGCTCTCATCAGAAACGAGTTTGACATTGACAGACTGAACCGTTTCTGCAGGAACCAGCAACAGCTGAGCACCATGGCCAAGATGATCGACCAGGAATATGTCGGATTAACATCTGTGTGTCACATACACCAGACGAGCTAATTGAGCTGTTAATAAGATGTATGCTGTAGTTTTCATGTATTAAACATGTTGATGCTGTTTCTCAGCTCGAGGATCTCCTCTGGTGAGATTCACACAGCGATCGCGTAATAAGACTCTTTTCTGTAACGGAACTGTGTTGGACTCTTAATGGATCATTTGATAGTTCTCTAGTTATTTGTGTTGTAAGACTCTTTACATCATATAAATAAATTATATCGCAGCAAATGAGTTGAAGTCTGTTTTTATGAAGTCTTTTCACTTTTAAAATGAAACTATCGTTAGACTTGGTTTATATTCCTGTTAGTTTTTGATGGATTCGGTGTCTTATTGCTCGCTGCCGGCTGCTGATCTGAGATCGGTGGGTCTGGTGTTTGTGTGGCTGAACCGGAGCTGAATAAACCTCATGAACTGGTCTCGTGTGTGCTGTCTGGTTTGAGCAGCAGAGGGCAGCGCTGGTCTCTTGTGGTCTCTTGTGGTCCAGCAGCAGCTCACCATCAGCTCTGGTGTGAGTTTAATGTAGTTTACTGTAAGGTCTGTGATTTCACTCTCATTACTGCTGCTCAATAAATCCACACAGACCCCGTCTAAAAACAAACTAAATCACTAGTGAAATTATACAGATATTTAGGCAGAAAGACTTAATAACAGAATATTATTCCTAGTAACAAATAGTAAAAACAGTGTTTTATGTCATACTTTGATGTTTATTTCTTTTCCTCCTGATATTTCCTCATGCTTGATCTAAATGACCAGCACTAGTACACTTGTCTCGCAGTGCACTGCACGAGGTTCACTCTTCATGTTTCTGTCGAGTCTGTGACGGAAACACTGCACGCATGCGGAGTCTGACAGCGCTCGCAGCGGAAATATGAACGTGTTCATAAAAACATAAATCTCTTACACACACACTCTCTCTCTCTCACACACACACTCTCTCTCTCTCTCACACACACACACACACCCACCCCTCTCTCTCTCTCTCTCTCTTTACCTTTTGATTGTCATCATCATCATCTCTCAGCGCGCGGCAGAATCGCGTCAGTTCTTCTCATATGGATCCGCGCTGCGCTTCTCACTTCAGACTGGAGTAACTTTCTTCTTCATCATCATCAGTGACAGTCTCACCGATGGAGGAAAAAACACAAGAAGTGAAAGATTCTCCGTTTTCCATCAGGAACCTGCTGAACAAACCCGAGAAACCCAGAGCTCACATGAATGTCCCGGATCTCAGCTTCCTGCGGCTCGGACCCTGGTGCTGCGCCGGCGGACACCCGAGCACCCCCGCGGGTGAGAACCTGCAGCCGCTCTTTACACCCATTAGTACTAGTATTAGTATTAGTATTAGTATGAGTATGTGTTCACAGACCTGTAGGAAATGAGCTGAGATCACCCGCTGATTTAAGACACTGAAGAGTTCATTCTGGTAATCACGAAAGCGTTTAAACTGGTCAAAAGTACAGTGTTTTGTGTGTTTTGTGTGTCGAGCAGCAGCTGGAATCAGAGACTCCACAGAAGCGGAGGATGAGGAGGTTGTTCTGGAGGACTCGGACTCGGACGAGCAGAAGAAGCTGTGCCGCAAGAAGAAGACCAGGACCGTGTTCTCCCGCGCTCAGGTGTTCCAGCTGGAGTCCACCTTCGAGCTGAAGCGCTACCTGAGCAGCTCGGAGCGGGCCGGCCTGGCCGCGGCGCTGCAGCTGAGCGAGACGCAGGTGAAGATCTGGTTCCAGAACCGCAGGAACAAGTGGAAGAGACAGATCTCCGCCGAGCTGGAGGCCGCCAGCCACGGGCACGCGCAGAGGACCGTGCGCGTGCCCGTCCTCTACCACGAGCACGCGGGGCTGGCCTTCACGCACGCGCTTTATTACCCGCACGCGCTGATCAGACCCGTGTGAGAGAGACTCGACTAACCAGCTAACTAACCAGCTAACTAACCCATCAGAGCGTGCATCCTCTGATCCAGGAGTTCAACTCTGTCAGGAACCTATTTTTATTAGAACAAATCTTGCTTTGCTGAGGAAGAGCACTTGGGTCCGCTAATGACAGGTGCAGCTGTTTATTATTATTAGTATTATTGTTATTATCATTATTATTATTATTTTCCCATACCTGTCTCTTCCGCACTAAAGTGGCTCAGTCTCGGTTCTTGTGTAAAACAAGGGAAGGCTGGAAACACAATGTTTTGGGGGTTTTCTGTGTATTTTCATGTTCTTTTTACATCCAGATACATTTCAGGACTCCAGTGTTGTACTGAATCTAATTGTTATTGACTTTATTTCTCAGTCTGAATGTTCACATGCACTAGTAAATATCTATTTTATTCTCCGACAAACGCCTGAAATTATGAATTATGAGGTTTGTGAAATAATCGGTGAGTTTGTCTGGGCTTTAGAGGATTTTTATATGATCATGAGTAAATGTTCATTATTGAATGTGTTTGTGATTCTGAAGATGCGACTTAATAAAGCGCTTCTATTGTAATTATGAGCTACTCTTGTATTTTCTTTATTTTAATTTATTATCTCATTATTTATCTTTAATAATATAGACAACAGAGAATAGAAATCATCATACAGTGTGTTTTTATGAACGCGCGGGTTTTACGCATTTGCTAAAATTATATTATAACCTTAATTAAAACATGTAATTATCATTCTGTCAAAGAATTTCAGTCATTCGCCGCGTTCAATAAAATCTGATGTTTAAACAATCGATTAATGCTTTAATGAGGAGAAATATGAGTTTGATTCACTGCGCATTATGATAATTATAGTTTGATTCTCGTGAATTATTCTTCTCTCGCAATGTTTACCAACAACAGGTTACGGCGCGCAAAATAAATCAGCTGAATTAATATTTAATTTCTTAGTATTAATAGCATTTATATTTTCGGAAATTCGTGAATTTTCATTATTACAAATATTCTCTGTAAAACCGCACAAATATTAAAATCTTAATGTAGCCTTCATTTAACTACAAATGCGTAAGAATTCGCTTCATGTATAATAATAATATCAGTAAATAATCAGGGTTTTAGATCTTAAACTGGACCAATCGCTACGAAACCATGTCTGCATGCTGCATCTGACCCAGCTGTAAAGGCAAAAGACTATATGCATTATTACAGTCATAATTTACATTTAATCATTTAGCAGATGCTTTTATCCAAAGCGACTTACACTTGCGGAATAAAGCGATTCTTCTTAAAGAGAAGTGCTGAGATACCGAGTTTTAGGCATTGTTCAAATAAGTACAAGCTAGAAAGGGAAGGAATAAATAAAGAGAAAGACAACTTTTTTTTTTTTTTAAAGATAGACTAATTCACATCAGATTTTCATAAGCGACTGGCTGGAAACCAGCGTGCGCGGCACGGGATCATCTTCCAACAAAAGAGGAGTATTATTATTATTATTATTATTATTATTATTAGCAGCCTACAGTAGCGTGTCCTCTGATGCCGAGAGTCTGACGAAGCAGCTGCAGAACTGTGAAAGAGCTTCAGCATTTTCAGAAGTTCAGAATTAATAACCAATATTCATGAAGCTCGACTGCATATTAAACACTCTCCACACAAATTCTACATTTTGTCTCCCGGAGTTGTTTTACATGTTTAAGATATTTTCATGGTTAGTTTTTATATTTTCCTGAAGATTAGCTTCACATGTCTGTATTCTCGCAGATGCAGTGATTAAAGCAGGAGCACAGAGAGAAGAGACACGCTAGAGGAGGAAGAGGATGATGAAGAGGATGAAGGGGCGCCTGGAACAAGCTTTAAATAGGGCTGTGCTCAAAATATCAACAGAGCAATACACCGTGACGCATTGCTTGCTGCTTCGCGAGTTCTGTATTGATACAGCAGCAGTGACGCAGTTCTGAAAAAGAAATAGAACAGAAAAGACCATTTTACGTTTAAAAGTTACAGAAATTTGTCTTTGCACCTCTTAATTACTCTGGAATTACAAACTGAATATTGATATTATTATTATTATTATTGAGTTTACAGCGTATGGTGGTTTTGCTGTTGTAAACACTACTGTTGCTGTTGTAGAAAAAAATATTTCTGTCTTATTTAAAATATAATTATATTATAATCCTGTTCTGAATTTATTCACATAATTTTTTGAATGAGAATGATAATAAAAACAGGATGGATAAGTATAATTCGGAGGATGAGAAAACTGTGATAATAATTTTTAAGGCACTCTACGTTTTTTAAATAAATACTGTAGTAATAATAATAATAGTTCAAAGTATGAATAGTTTTTAGTCAGATAACATTAAAAAGACCAGACCCGTCGACACACTTTAAACTTTTCCCAATCAAACCGCAAGAACCAAAGAGAACAGGCTTTGTTTATATTGCTGTGTGTACAACTACATTAGCTGCGTTTTTAATATTTAATAAATATTTAATTTTAATAAAATGTAAATTGGTCCCCAGCGCTTTATTCGGGCAGGTGTGTTCACGAAGAGGTTTAAGATTTAAATCCAGACACAGGATCATAGTCTTTGCTTAACCTGAGGCTTTATTTGTGTGTAACATGCGGAGAAGTAAACATGTGTTTCATTCATTCTCGAAGCAGAAGAAGAATAACGTATGACCTGCAGGAACACCAGTATCTGCTGTAGCTGAGCTGAATAAAACAGCAGAAACCTTTAAACTGATGAAACATGACCACAATAAACACACGACTGCGAAAATACATGGTTTATGTGTGTTTTTCAAGTCATCTCCAGGTAATAAATAAATTAACTATATGAATATAGTCTACTGATCGACATATCATTTAGTATAGAAACTATAAAATATATTTCCTGCCCTCTTCTGTGTTCGTAGCCTTTATAAACCAATCATAAAATTGTCATTAGGAAAATACTGAACACAAATATTATAGCCCCTTGCTGCAGCTTCCACAGGCTACACACAACAATATAATCAGCAGCTGTGCATGCTGGCTTCATGTAGCTCTTGTCAAATAATAATAATTTAATAATGTAAGTAAACAAGCACAGCGCTTCAGCCGCGGACGTTATTGAAAGCAAGGCAGAGCGCGCTAAATACCAGAGATCCCGGATGAGAGCGTCAGGTGAAAGGTCGTCATGTGGATCATTTTATTTACAGCTAAATTATTATTCATTAATTTTACTAATAGTTAGATTGGGCAGGCCTTCACAAAAGGGCGTTTAATTACAAAAATGGCTTGACAAAAGGGCACTTTGGGCATCAAGGGGAAAGGGAAGGTGCTCAAGCACGGAATAGAGCATAAACCTTTATTGGATTTAATTTAATATAACTAAAGAAGCCCAGAAGTACCATTGAATTACCCAAACGCCCCCCTTATTTTGTTATATCATGTAAATGATGACATAATTCCATATCATAGTATCACAATCAGAGACAGAATGTGATTAAACTCGGGCAGGTTCTTAGTTATTATTCAGTGAACATCATAGAATTATATTGGCAAATAAATAAAAACATGCTGACTAATGACTGACAGTAAATATCATCTCAGACAAATATAACGCTGATGAAAACAACTATAATTCCTCGTTTTATTCTTAGAAATGTAGCACAAATGTTTTATCTGCGATGATCGCATTGATTAAATTAAAACACTCATCTTCAACAGGCGGAAATGCACAACATCTCGCGATTTTTTGTTGTTTCGTGTCCTCGCTCGTGCCCGGAAGTAAATCCTTGTAACCAATCATTGCTAAAGAACGTTAGAGGGAGTTTTGAAACGGACCAATGAGAGCAGAGCTCTGCTGTGAACGCGTCCAATCAGAGAAGAGCGTCGATGAGCGGCAGAGCGGCAGCAGAGAAGAGCGGCGCGGTGAGATTTAACGGAAATTCTGCTTATTTTAATAAACTATTATGTGAAATAAAACGATCAGCTGTGTTTCAGAGAGCTTATCACAGCGGAAGTTTTAGTTCTGAATACAAACGCGGCGGTTAGCATGTGATGTGTAGAGTTTAAATTCAGTCATAATGTCGGTTTAACGTTACTCGAGTTTAGTTCCTGAGTCATCCTACAATCCTTTAGGCTTATATGATGCTGCTGACATTTACACTCACGTACATATTAAGAGAAAGAACAATATGTGAATAAACGTACTTTGTTTCTTTCTTTAGCTCGTCTTCAACACCCATCTGCTGTACAGCGCGCCTCTGGGGACATTCTAAAACGCTTGACGTGATGTTATTCACTTTACCCGTGGATTAAGGGCTCGTTCTTTTGACTGTAGTTAGTGTTTATTACAAGTAAGGTTTGACAGAAATTTGGGTTTCCCTGGTCTGTGTTTAGTTACGTTAAGCGTTTTTCATGTTTTAGAATGTCCCCGCCTCTGTTTCAGGTCTAACGTTACACGCTGTCTCAAATAAATGGCATTTCTTACGTTTTTTCTTTCTTTCAGTATTTATTAATCCTTATTTATTTCAATTACAGCTTCTGGATGTTTTTTACATATAAAAATAGCTTACATATAGACTAATGTTATTAATGTATCGTTTTTAATGTAAACTTGTTTATATTTTTACCTTTAGTATACGTGAGGCAAAAGAAGTTAGAATGACGGATATATTAAAATTCATAGCATGTAAACAAGTTCTGCTCGCGTATTTGAAGGTTTCTATTGGATGATTTAGGGTAAACGTCATATTATGCGACTACACATTACTTTACAGAGAGTTTACGAACTACTTGTTACGTCCTGCCTTACGAACAACTGGTGCAACCAAATAATGTATAGATTTAGTTACAAACTAGCTAGTAGTTACTAAGCATCAAGTGTAAACTTAACGTTCTAATTTAAGTAAGAACTTACTAATGGCTGGTGCAACCCTACCCGGATCACACACGTGACCTGAGGAATCAGCACAAACACACACTCCGTGCAGGAGCTGATGATGTAATGCGTGTGTGTGTGTGTGTGCTCTCAGATGACCGGAGCCAATGAGTTCAAGCTGACCCAGGGTCCGGAGGACAGCGTCTCGGCTGTTAAGTTCAGCCCGAGCTCGGCTCAGTTCCTGCTGGTGTCGTCGTGGGACTGTACGGTCCGTCTGTTCGACGTCAGCGCTAACAGCATGAGGATGAAGTACCAGCATCTGGCGCCGGTGCTGGACTGCGCTTTCTATGTGAGGAGCATCACTGTAGAAACACTGGAGATTCACGGATTCATTCACTGCTGTGTTTGAACTCTGTCTCGTGCCGTTTCAGGATCCGGCTCACGCGTGGAGCGGCGGTCTGGACAACCAGCTGAAGACGCACGATCTGAACACGGATCAGGGTGAGTTTAAACACCAGACGCTGGCAAGTAAACGATCACGCTGGTGTGTGACTGTATCTGTGCTCTTCGTCAGACACGATCGTGGGGACGCACGATGCTCCCATCCGCTGTGTGGAGTACTGTCCGGAGGTCAACGTGATGGTGACGGGCAGCTGGGACATGTCTGTGAGGCTCTGGGACCCCAGAACGCCCTGCAACGCCGGGACCTTCACGCAGCCCGAGAAGGTGAGCAGACGTGAGGGACACAGCGGCTCTGGCGCAGGAGCGGCTCTGATCTGTGTCTGTGTTTCAGGTCTACAATCTGTCTGTGACTGTGTTTCAGGTCTACAATCTGTCTGTGACTGTTTCAGGTCTACAATCTGTCTGTGACTGTGTTTCAGGTCTACACGCTGTTTCAGCTGTCTGTGTTTCAGGTCTACACGCTGTCTGTGACTGTTTCAGCTGTCTGTGTTTCAGGTCTACACGCTGTCTGTGACTGTTTCAGCTGTCTGTGTTTCAGGTCTACACGCTGTCTGTGACTGTTTCAGCTGTCTGTGTTTCAGGTCTACACGCTGTCTGTGACTGTTTCAGCTGTCTGTGTTTCAGGTCTACACGCTGTCTGTGACTGTTTCAGCTGTCTGTGTTTCAGGTCTACACGCTGTCTGTGACTGTTTCAGCTGTCTGTGTTTCAGGTCTACATCTGTGTTTCAGGTCTACACGCTGTCTGTGTTTCAGGTCTACACGCTGTCTGTGACTGTTTCAGGTCTATACGCTGTCTGTGTCTGTGTTTCAGGTCTACACGCTGTCTGTGACTGTGTTTCAGGTCTACACGCTGTCTGTGTTTCAGGTGTCTGTGTCTGTGTTTCAGCTGTCTGTGGCTGTGTTTCAGGTCTACACGCTGTCTGTGGCTGGAGACCGGCTGATCGTGGGGACGGCGGGGCGGCGTGTGCTCGTCTGGGATCTGAGGAACATGGGATACGTGCAGCAGAGACGAGAGTCCAGCCTGAAATACCAGACGCGCTGCATACGAGCTTTCCCCAACAAACAGGTCAGACACACACAGACTAGTTTGACAAATTCAGTTTCCATGGGTTTGTTAAAAATGTTTTTCTTTATCATCATGGATGAAAGGCAATCATTTTATAGCAGTTAGTGAGCTAAACACACAATAGAAAATAAGCATTTATCAGTACAATCTTTTGCATCACCCTGTTCACATGCACTAGTTACCACAGGGTTAAATCAGACTGTAAACAATGGAGTGACACATTATTCATAAAAATTGATGCAAATGTAATAAATTTTTATTCATGTATGGTACTTGTCAAAAATTTTGAAACAATGATTTTTAAATGTTTTGTAATGAAGTCTCTTCTGCTTATCAAGGCTGCATTTATTTGAGCAAAAATACAGTAAAAATTCTGAAATATTATTATAATGTAAAACAGCTGTTTTCTATGTGAATATCTGTTAAACTCTAATTTATTTCTGTGATCAAAGCTGAATTTTCAGCATCATTACTCCAGTCTTCAGTGTTGCTGATTTGCTGGTGCTCAGTTACTTATAATGGTACTGATTATTTTCAATGTTAAAAATATAAATATTTTGTGAAACTTTTTTCTGGATTCTTTGATGAATAGAAAGTTCAAAAGAACTTTTTTTTTTTTAATCTTTAGAAATGTCTTTACTGTCACATTTTATCAATTTAATGCATCCTTGATGAATAAAAGTATTAATTTATATGAAAAAATACACGCACCCTAAAATATTAAATTGTAGTACTTCACGGTTTCCACAAGAATATTGTGCAGCACAACTGTTTTCAACTGATAATAATCAGAGATGTTTCTTGAGCAGCAAATCAGCATATTAGAATGATTTCTGAAGATCATGTGACACTGAAGACTGGAGTAATGATGCTGAAAATACAGCTGCGCATCACAGAAATACATTACAGTTTAACAGATATTCACATAGAAAACTGCTGTTTGAAATTATAATAATATTTCACTGCTTTTACAGTATTTCTGATCAAATAAATGCAGCTTTGGTGAGCAGAAGAGACGCCATTCAAAAGATTTAAAAGTTGTAATGTTTCCGAACTTTAGACAAGTACTGTAGTTCGTTTCCATTTCAATTCAAATTGAATTTTGTCTCACACACACATCCATACATAATACGATGTGCAGTGAATTTTTTTTCTCTATGCACATACATAAATTAACATAAGAATAATATAGAAAAACTCTCAAATATTCAAGGACACTAATAGTGCTGGGCAGTATGACCAAAAATTTATATCACGGTATTTTTCAAAATTATACCGGTTTCACGGTACATGATGGTATTTTTTCTTCATGCATGACCGGGTGTTAAGCATATCTTCTACTGATTGAGACCCATACGAGTAAAGTCCACGGTATAGCCTCAGAGCCTGTGTTTCCCCGGCAGACTTCTGCCATTCCATGAGGGTTACAATCACCTCCAATTTTCCATATGAACCTAAACTGATGTTCACATGTGTATTTACTTCCGAAACCTCCTTCGGGAAGGATGGGGCTTCCGCAGCGTCCCTGTTCCAAGTGGAACGGTTACGTTTTCCCAGTGTTATCCAATCTCACTGAGTGGGTAGAGCTACAACAACGGTGAATGGTCTTCTTGTTGCAAGCCCCGGCCTACACTAAAAAGGGGCGCAGGTGACTCGCACAGGGCACTGGAAGGGGCAACATCCATGGCGCTTTGGTAGGGAATCCCAATTCGTTGGTCACGACGTGACTCGTAGTGACCGACTGAAAGGAAATGTCTCGGTTACGCATGTAACCCTCGTTCCCTGAAGGAGGGAACGGAGACGTCACGTCCCGTCGCCACGGCTGCTGTACCACCGCT